CTGAAAGGTAATCACAATTCATTTCTTTTGAGAACAGCATAGGCTACAAGATGGTGAACCTGTACAGGGCCGTCATAAATTCATTTTTGCTTTTTCATTGTTTCTTATTCCAATAATGGTCATTAGTCTGTGATTCTGTGTGTTCATAAACTGCTCGAAATAGTATTATTGCTTGTAAAACTTTACCTAAAAAGATATACAAGAGACTCTTACATGCTTTTGCACATAAAATATTTTATCCGAATTTAAAATAAAAGCATAATTCGCGCTTATAAACAACGATTGCTTTTGGATTTAATTATCTCTATTAAGATATCATTTCAATTACTTGCACTTATTTTGCAAATTTATTAACTCGCCATATTCTAGATGAAGCTTCTAAGGAAAAAATATAAAGTTCGCGGATTCCTCTTACTGAAACTACTCGTTTTTGTAAAAAAAAGAAACATTCGCAAATATAAGTTTAAAGCGTTCGCGAAATGGAAAAAAATAAAAATATTATATTTGATTTGAAAAAAAAAACTCTTATTAAGTGGAATTGTGCCTAAGATGTTGTGAAAAAGTGAAGTTCTTATTAAATAAAAGAGCGGGAGTTTTTATTATTATTATTATTGAGGTCACAAGGTCTGATGGTTGTTTCTAATGTAAATCTTGAGGAGTTTTCAAAACTCGATGTCTTGAAGATCATAGCCTGATTTAGGTAATTCAACGTTTGTGGAGAGAACAATAGATTAAGTTGATATTTCGTTTTTAAGACCTGAGAGAGCGATTTAAACCATCAGATGTGTTTAGCTACTTTATACGGTTGATGTAAATTTTTATATCGAAGCTTACGACTTTTTCTGCATTCAGTCAAAGCATATCAGTTCGCAGAAAGTAGAACACGATACGAACATTACGAGAACTCCTTGTCATGACAAAACTAAAACTATCTCGTATTCAAAGAGACAAGAAAGATCTGCGAAGTGTGTTGGACAAAATAAGTTTCATGAATCTGATATCTCTTGAAAACATAAGCTTTGAAGACGTGGACTCAACATGGTGCAAGGAATTTCAAAAGAAATGCTCTCAAAGTAGCAGTTATTTCTTGAAGTCAGGCCCGACATGGCCAGGTGGTTAGGGCGCTCGACTCGTAATCTGCGAGTCGCGGGTTCGAATCCCCGTCACACCAAACATGCTCGCCCTTTCAACCGTGGGGGCGTTAAAATGTGATGGTCAATCCCACTATTCGTTGGTAAAAGAGTAGCCCAAGAGATGGCGGTGGGTGTTGAAGACTAGCTGCCTTCCCTCTAATCTTACACTGCTAAATTAGGAACGGCTAGCTCAGATAGCCCTCGTGTAGCTTTGCGCGAAATTCATAACAAACTAGAAGTCTATAACAAAAATAAAACAGAAGACGTTTGCTGCAGATGAGGCCAAAGTTAGGCTTCTGATTAAAGATAAAAGGATCCTCAGAGGTATCAGATAATTCTTTGGGAGACTCATCTTTCTACCAGTATCGTTCAAGGTTGACTTAAAGCATTGTGATAACATACTCTCCAATTTCAGTACCTTTCTCTCTAGCCACCAATAAAACTTACAACCAAGTTGACTCTGATGGTCAATCTACGCAACAAAAAAGTCAAAACTAGAAATCCAGAGTCTATGGCAAACAACATTACTATTATAGATGCGATATGTTTTTTATAAGTTGCATGGCAAACGTGCCAGAGTTATCCTTTAATATTCATGTTTAACAATCTCTCATAAAATCCATATTCTCAGTGACTTTTGTGATGCCCTACCAGTCAAGAACGAGACACGTGCAAACAGGGCTACTAATGTAAGTACTGTTGACTATTACATCGCGACCAAAAAGCTTTAGTTCTGGATTGTCATTTGTCATCTTTAAGACATCTCTTCATGAATTTATCGAAAGTGAACAATACACACATTAAAGTATTAATGCTACATATTTGCTTCTGTAGATAATCACATGAGAAGGTCAGAACAGCCAGAACTTAGTTCATAAGGTCAAGCAGATACAAGAATATGTGTGCATGTACAGTATTGCAAGGCAATAGAGCTAAAGTCACAAGTGATAGTAAGGTCAGAACACAGATATCCCTTTTGTTCCCTTGTACCACGATGGGAGTTGTATACCCGTGACAGAGACCTTCTAGCTTGTTTTTGTGGGGAAAACATTCACTACCAGACCGAATCTATTTATTTACAGAACTGTCTTAAGTTTGGTTTGGTTTATTTTGAATTTCGCGCAAAGCTACACGAGGTCTGTCTGCGCTAGCCGTCCCTAATTTAGCAGTGAAAGACTAGAGTGAAGGCAGCTATTCATCACCACCCACCGCCAACTCTTGGATTACTCTTTTATCAATGAATAGTGGGATTGACCGTCACATTATAACGCCCTCACAGCTGAAAGGGCGAGCATACTTGGTGGAACGGGGATTCGAACCCGCACCCTCAGGTTGCGAGTCAGGCACCCTAACCACTTGGCCATGCTGGACCAATTGTCTTAAGACAGGTTAAAAGACATCTCCCCCCTGTCTCGACCGAGCTTGAGGGGAGGGGGACATTCATACAAGATCCTTCATAACAACGTCATTGAGCCCAACTCTATTTAGCACACTACCCAAATTACATGTTTACACATGGTTATATTTTCAAGGGGGAAATATACCCACTAGCACTGATAGATCGTGAAGAGAAACCTGCAGCTACATTTGAAAATATTGAGACAGAAAAATACTAAAGTTTAAAATTTTTGTAAATAATTTCAACACATAAGTAAAGTTTAATAATATTTGTTGTGATTTTTGTTGTAAATTATATCTAATTTTAAAAGTCATAAAATTGTGACGTAAGTATAGGGTATTTACGTAAACTGACTTCATATCAGGCCAGGAATAATTTGTGTTTGTATGGCTGGTATTGATTTTGATCACATGATTACTGAATCTATTTTTCAAATAACAAATTGAAATAGTTTCAAATAGTTTTTGAAGACATGTTTGATATTTTCCAGGCTTGTATATTAATAATAATAAGTTGCTAAGTTCAGTATAATAAGTTAGTTCAGTATAATAAGTTGCTAAGTTCAGTATAATAAGTTGGTTCAGTATAATAAGTTGCTGGGTTCAGTATAACAAGTTGCTGGGTTCAGTATAACAAGTTGCTGGGTTCAGTATAACAAGTTGCTGGGTTCAGTATTGTAAGTTGCTGGGTTCAGTATAACAAGTTGCTAGGTTCAGTATAACAAGTTGCTAGGTTCAGTATAACAAGTTGCTAGGTTCAGTATAACAAGTTGCTGGGTTCAGTATAACAAGTTGCTGGGTTCAGTATGATAAGTTGCTGGGTTCAGTATGATAAGTTGCTGGGTTCAGTATGATAAGTTGCTGGGTTCAGTATGATAAGTTGCTGGGTTCAGTATGACAAGTTGCTGGGTTCAGTATGACAAGTTGCTGGGTTCAGTATGA